CGTCAACCCACGCGTCAATTGAGAAACAAGGAAGACACGCAGAAGACCGGGGTGCGCTCTGATGCAAGCCCGACAGAAACGGCGCGATGAACCCGAAGTTCACCACGAGCCCATTCCAGACCGACGAGGTAATGTCCTGCAGCGCCACTGATCGGTCACTCACGGGGCATGAAAGTTGAGCATGGCTGCAGAACCCCAAGGAGTCGCTGGGCCTGCGCAGCGCCACCTGCCTCGATGGCCCTTCCCCTGTGTCCAAGATTGGTCTTTATGCTCACGCTTGCGATTTTGCTATTACGCTTTTAAACATAAATCCGCAGAAGGGCCTATTTTTACGGCTATTTTTACTGCTGCGTGGGACACCCAGGTTACATGATGAAAGTTGCATACAACGATCAGACTTGCGCCATTCCCAGCACAAGCAACACAATGCCCACCTCGCCCCTGGCGAGGGTGATAATGGCGCTTAACAAATACTCGTTTTTGCCCCTTCCAGGGCGTCTGGCTGCCACTCTTCGGACTCCATAAGTCTGTATGTACTGTTCTTATGTACACAGGGCAGTTTTTGCGTTGCATCTATGTATTTTTACGCATTTTTACGCGTAAAAACATAACAATTATTTTATGCATAGAAACGTAAATACGATCAGTTTCTACGGCGTAAAAACCAAGCCTGCCTTTCTCCACCTACTTTTCGATTCAGGCCGCCGGCACAGACCGCAATCACTTTTTTGCGGCTGCGCAGGAGCCTCGGCTCCATCCGACGACGAAAACACCTTCAGCCTGAGTGAGTCCCCTGCAGGGGACTGCTCCCTGGTCGCCTTATTCCGCGAATTCACACCCCAGCAGCGAGGGAACAGGAGCCAGTGTACCCCGGAACGACCCACCATTCCAGCAGCAGATATGCAACGTCGGGGCTGCAAATGAATCTGTGTGCTCACAGCTACAAGTGCAGTACAGAGGGGACTATACGTCACCCGAAAAGGCCAGAGGGGCGGGGTGGGGTGGGGGGTGGGATTGGGGGACGGCGGCCTAGTTAAGGGAAGGCTCGCAGGGCTGTAACTGACACAAGCATCAAAACAGGCTTGGTTGGCATTCATGCGATGGTTAAACCACTTGACATGTTAGTAAGCAGACAGATTATAGAATGCAGCATGCTAGAAATATGCTAGAAATATGCTAGAAATATGTCGCCAGGGGGACTCCGTAGACATGCCAAGTGTGATTTGCAACTGGTTTGATAGAAACATGTCAAAACAAGAGTGTCAGCCCATCACAGCTGAAGGTAGCCAGGGATAGTAGATGAACGCACACGTTGCCATTGTTTCCTATCATTAACGATGGTGAGGGCAATTGAAGGAAGGGGAAATCTCCTACTAGAGGCAGGGACGTAGGGAGGAAACGAGCAGTTGTTGGGCCCCATTTCCCTTGGTGCAGTGGGGGACAAGAGTCTTGCGGTAGAGAGATGCAGCTGCGCTTGACGAATATCACTTGTAAAGGCCTTGGCTGCCCAACTTGCCTTGGGATCCGTTGGGCAGAGCACATGGCAACAGATTGCGGCGGAGCAAAGGGTCTCTTGGGGTTCAGGCCCCCTGAATACGAGTTTACACACTTTGATGCCATCGTCCCAATTATTGGCACAGCACGGCGCGTTTTGGTCCGTTTGGGGGTCCCTGCTTAAAGGACTGCAGTACGAGACAGCAGGTGCAATTGCATTGACGCTGTTGTTGCACAGAGGGCGATCCCACTACTGGTGCCGATCTCAAACCGCGGGGTGAGACAGTGTAGGGGGGAACAACCCTGCCGGCTGCACCCAGGTCGGTGCGTTCGACGAGGCTGCGGACATCTGGCGTGCGGAGCACCTCCCAAAAGCATTCAGGGGCGCATTTGGATGTGTCTTAGAAAGAAGTTGCTTCAGCACTCAACCCACTGACCCCTGCCGGAGGCGAGAACGTCGCAAAGTGTTTGCTGAGGGGAGTTGACCAATTGTACACATCTGTGGTCCGCGTTTGTCTTCGTTGAAAGGGGGGCTGTTCATTGCATGAAATGGTTTCGGGCAGTGGGCTATTCGTGGCGCATCAAATACCCCACTGCACGTGTGGGGCACCAGTCAAGAACTGTCTAGACCGGTGCTGGTCACAGATCTTTAGCGATGGCTCCAGGAACCGCGCTGGAATTCCGCGTTCGCTGCGATACGGGCCTCTCTAGAATGCCCGAAATGGACTCACGGTGGGGTGGGAAATTGACAGTGGTCACGGTGCGGTGCAAACAGCCGGCCAGTCGTTGACAGGGTCAGCGCCCGGGTCCGGGGTCCGAGGGGTCCCGGCATCCACTACCAGACTCGCCAGGAGCGAGGGCACGTGCGCCACGCCGGCGCCCTTCGCTCATTCTAGTGGTTTGGTCCCTTTTTGCCTTGTCTTGGCCTCTTTTTCTTGTCTCTTTTCCATCCCCCTCGGCAGGGTCCGCCACCCATCGCCCTTGCCACGCCTTTCCGCACGCCGCTGGCGCCACAGGCCTTCTTGAACAGTCTTGTATTTTGCCTCTCCGGCTTTTCCGGGCAATATTTTCGCGTTGTGCGAACAGGGGGGGGTCACGAGTTGCCCCCCAATTGATTCGCCGCGGAATAGTGGTCCATCAGAGGCGGACCGACAACCACCTCTGTGGCGAACAAAACAGAAAGAAATAGAGGAGAGAAAGAGTTTTTTTTTTGGGGATCCCTTTCATGCAAAGATTTCCACATTACAAGTGAAGCCTCATCTGTGTATATCCAGAGTGTTCGTCCCACTTTTCATCAGCCACACGAAAGAGAGGAGAGAAGGCAGGCGGTTGACCAGCGATCCAGCAGAGGACGTGGCAGTGCAGCGCGTTGTGGACTTCCCAGCACAGGGTGTGTGAAATAGGAAGTGATGAAATAGAGAGGAGTTGGGGAATGTTGCCAAACTGGTCGTACAAAGTGTGATGTGCCTGTCCAGACCATTTCTTTTGAAACATGCAGGAAGTGGCACACAGCCATGGGGTTTAGCAGTTCTGCAGTTCTGTTACCTGCAACTGAGTTGAACCCATCTGAAAGGATGCACCCTCCAGCACATGGCACTTTTTCTGAGATGTTGTGGCTCACTAATGCTGTACACGTTGCAATGTCTTGTGGCTTCCTTTACATCTTTTGACATGTCATATTGGTCCCAGCTGGAAAGGATGTCCTTCCAGCACACAGTGATACTCACACACATACAATCCCCTTGCCTTGCACTTTCTTGCTTGGTGGCACAAGGTCCACATACCCTGTGATAGGATGGGTAGGTGGGAAGGTGGGGAGGGGGGCCACCTGCACGCTGAAATGTGGTGTAATATTTTTTAATCAAAGAAATACCTTTCCCAGCACTGGCACAGAAGAACATTATTCTATGCCAACTGCATTGTGACACCAATTGATGCCATCAGAATGATGGTAATGGCATAAATGTAACTGTGATGGTGACAATTGGTGTCAAATGACATCACAGTTAGCATGAAAATGATGTCTTTTTCTACTAGTGCAAGCCATGCTGCTCGCATCGAAGTGTGGTTTAACATCTGCTTTGACAATATTTGTCAAAGGCAATGGTAGACATTCTCTCATTCAATCAGGAACAGCAGCTATTGTGGCCTTGGGTGCTTTGCACATTTCAAAAACTTTTGTTAGCTTGACAGTGAGGACAAGTCCATGTGACACCTATGTTGTGGCTCAGTGAAACAGCCCACACACAAATTTCACACACCATGTCGCAAACAGTGGATTTGGTGTCGTCAGCTGCACATTCATGGGTCCCTTGGTGAAGATTGGCTGCGCAGGTTCAGGTCAATAACGACCTCAACCTGCACAGCTGGTGGATCAATCCGTGATTTGGACTGGCACGCGGTGGCCACAGTGGATGGCTTGCGCTGTCATCCTGGCTGTGCAACATCGTCAATTTTTCTGGTTTGCCCTTCTCAACAAAGTTGACGCCAGCTGAAACCGGAAACTGCATCTAACTTTAATAATGAATGCCATGCTCTGCTCCCTTCTTCAACCTTATTGCAGACATTTGATGTATGGTAATGCCCTTGTAATTTGTTGCAGTGGTGGTCTGCAAATGCAAATACAAATTCAAATAAGCTGTATTAAAAGGGTTCTGTCGAAATGTAGGTAGCCAATAATAACTGTAACAGGCGATCAGTGAGGTGATCTGCTACATTCGGTGCAAGCCATAGAGGAGTTGCACTTTATAGTTGCCTTTATGTAGAGCAACAGGGTCCCTTGCTGCCCAAACCATCTTGGGCAGGTAACGCCTGCCCCTGCTGATGTAAACCCAGCATACTGTGATGGATTACATCATCAAGGCGCAAAACGTGTTAACTGGTGCAGGAATGAAATGTAAAAACTGATACTACTTGCAAAAGCTAACGTACAACAACATTTCCATATGCAGTTGTAACATTTGGAGGTACGGACTGCACTCTGCGAATTCTGGATGATGAATTTGTCATACAATTGCTGTCATACTTAGACAAGCCTAATGTGTACCTACACCACTGATGTGCTGATGCAATTCCAGTGATCTGTGCTGATTCGCAGATGTCAGAAAAGGCAGCATCGGGACAGCTCAGAGTCCCTGTGCAAGGCTCTCAGGCATGTCAGCGTGGATCAATCTGCCCAGTAACTGTGATGGAATTGCATGCAATCTGGAAAGGAAATCATATGGGCAATGTGCTGACAATCTTTTGGTGCAGTATTATGGTGATCCGCCATCTTGGCTTGGGTGTCACTACTGTGATAAAGTTCGGTCAGATAGACAAGCTCCATTTTAAATTCTAGTCAATGTGGAATTTGGGCACCTCACTGTTTTTCAAATCAAGAACTACATGTAATATAAATGGCTTTGTAGAATAAGTAGAGCATATGTACCACCTAAACATGATCGGCAAATGCTTGCATCTTTGCACCACGAATCTTCACATCTCCACACTGTGAATAGGGGCAAGACATGGACAACATACCTGATCAGCCAGCAAGCACCTTTAACCTGCAAGTGCCAGAAGATCTTGAAGTCGTGGCTGCAGAACTGGAGCTACAAGGGAAATATCAAGAGGCTAAGGAAAGCTATCAAAATGCCTTGGATGTTGGTATGAGAGTGGTGGGAAAGAAGCATACATTGGTGCATAAATGCACTCGCCATTTGGGACGTGTTCACTTGCATCTTGGGCATTTTGCAGAAGCCAGACAGTACTGCAATACAGCATTCGAGATGAAAGTACAGGAGCTGGGTGATGGCCATCCAGAATTGGCCGAGGATCTGAATGAATTGGGTCTGGTGATGCTTGAACAGGCAGACTACATTGGCACCCAACAGTGCTTTTGCAGGGCACTATGCATTGTGAATGACAATGCTTGTTTAGAGACCGCTAAGAGCTTGTATGGCATGGGGCGGATGCTGCACAAGCAAGCAAAGCTCCCAGAATCTGAGGCACAGCATCTTAGGGCATTGGGCATCAGAAAGCAAGTTCTGGGTGATTCCCACGTGTATGTTGCAGAAAGCCTCATAGGCCTGGTGGAGGTGATGGTTGGAAAGGCAGATTTTTCTAGGGCTAGAGAGTTTGCCACCATGGCATTAGAGCTCATGCAACAAGCTTTCTGTACTGACCATCCCAAGGTTGCAATGGCCCAGTTTTGGCTTGGGTGGGTGAAGTTGGAACAAGGAATATTTGGCCAGGCAGAGGAGCATCTTGCCACAGCATTGGCAATCAGGAAGAAGTCTTTTGGTGTTGAACACCCAGATGTTGCACAGAGCTTGGATGGCATGGGAGAAGTGCTGTGGAAGCAAAGGAAGTTTCCAGAAGCAGAGGAGTATTATAGTGATGCGCTGTCCATTAGGAAATCGGTTTTTGGTGATTGCCACCCTGACGTTGCCCAGAGCTTGAACAACTTGGGCACTCTGATGTTTGATGCTGGGAGACTCTCTCAAGCTGAAAAATACAACAATCAGGCTTTGGAAATCAGGATACGGGTGTGGGGCAGTGATCATCCAGACATTGCGCATAGTTTCAACAATTTGGGATGCATCATGCACAACCAGGACAAGCTTGATGATGCTGAGGAATGTCACAGCAAGGCCTTGGCCATCAAGGAACACACCCTTGGCAAGAACCACCTTCACGTTGCTCAGAGCTTGGGCAACCTGTCATGTGTGATGCAAAAGCAAGGAAGACTTCTGGAAGCTGAGGAGCATGCTGAAAGGGCTGTGGCAATCATGAGGCAGGCCCTTGGGGATGAGCATCTGGACTTGTCACAGTACCACATGAACTTCGGATTCATCTTGCACCAGCAAGGGAGATTTGCACAGGCTGAGGAGCATTTTAGGACTGCCCAGACCATCGTGGAACAGGTCCTTGGTGATGAGCATCCAGATGTGGCAAATATTCTGACATGGCATGGAATTGCAGCATTCAGACAAGAGAAATATTCTTGTGCAGAGAAATGCCACCGCAGGGCCTTGGCCATAAGAAAATTGGCACTGGGAGATCTTGACCCAGAGGTTGCACTGAGCCTGCATTTCCTGGGATTGGTGTTGCATGAGCAAGACAAACTAGCAGATGCAGAGATGGTACTGGAAACATGCCTGGAGATCAAGAAGAGAGTGCTGGGTGGTGACAGTCCAGATGTGATAGCTGTGTTGAGCAAACTGGATGAGATTCGAGAGCAGATGGGAGCTTGAGGAATATTTTTCTGTTAGTAATGTGCTGCTGGCCGTTTTCAACATTTGAATCATTGTTCCCTAATACTTTGCTCTCTACTCAACAAAGCGCACATATGCAAATGGCAGCCATGGCCTTTGCTCTTGTGATGCAGAATAGGGATGGTACCTGGGCTGGCGAAACCGGACCCGGGTACCCGGAGTTTCCAAAACTCGGATACCCGGGTGTGCCCGGGTAACCCCGGGTACACCCAATACCCGGGTACCCGCCAATAACTGGGTACCCGGGTACCCGCCAATAACTGGGTACCCGGGTACAACCACTACCCGGGTCCGGGTATGTACCCGGGTACGGAAAGATGCCCTCCTGCGCCGACGCAGCGCTGGCTGGCCGCGCTACGCCGCGCTTGGCCGGCTGCTGTCTAACGGAGTGCGCGACGACGACGGCGCCCCTCGCCTGACGTTGTCTTCCACTAACCATGCATTCTTCTGGCACAATCCGGAAAGGGCTGGACGCCCTTTGGTCAACGATCGCGTTGACGATCCGGAAAGAACAACAACCACAATAGCGAAAACGCAACTATACAGGTGTCAGACATCAACGACAACAACGCCCAAAGCAATCGCCGATCCATCTGGTTCAAGTTGCTGGGCATGTCCTGCCCGCACCAGCCGTTTCGCAGTGGAACGGACGACCTGCAATCCCCAAAGGGCAGCTCTGGCGCCAGGGCTACAACACAGCCGGTATCCTAGGGACCAACCCGTCGGAGTCCAGCTGCATTTTCTGCGGACCGCCGGTTGCCGCAGGTGTGTAGAGATGTTCCAACCCGTCAGATTCCCCGCTTCTGGCTCGCCAGCGCCAGGGGATCGACCAAGCAGCACCATGTCGATGTTCCAACCGGTCAGTTTCCCCGATTCTGGCTCGCCGGCGCCCCCAGATCTCCAAACGCGCGGCCCAAAGAAGAGTGTGTGGAGAGCATCGGCACCGTGCACGATCGCGACGCAGCCACACACAGTGTGGACGGGGGCGACCTTCGGAAGCCAGCGCGGTGCGAAGCTATGCACCGGGCGACCGCTGGTCAAACGTGCTGTACCCGGGTACGTACCCGTACTCGCCTACCCGGGTACAAGGGTTGGCGGGTACCCGGGTAGGCGGGTACTGGAAAAAACAATACCCGCCCCGGGTACCGGGTTTTCCTGTACCCGGCTTTCCATCCCTAATACAGAAGTGACCCTTGGCTGTTTTCCACCAAATTGATTTCCAAAACAATCACAGCCATTGCCCCAAACCAAGTGGAATTGCAAAATGGCACAAGTGGTCAGTCGTGGATGAAACCCTGTTCTTGTCATGCTATGAATTTCATTTGTTGACCAAACGTGGCTGATACTTCTTTATCTTGCAGTTCTGCTGTGGATTTGTAACATATGCTTCCTATAGGAGGCCGGGGACTGGCCAGCTGCCCTTGAAACTTGGCCTGCACCTTCTCTAGCCCGCCCCGATCCCGCAGGGCAGATGCAGAGCGGGAAAGGGAGTAAACCTCTGGAAAAAAGTACCAACAACAATAGTAACAATGACAATTTTTGATGATGAAGGGTTGAATAAACTGTGGTACAAATTGTATCTGATGATGGAGCGCAGCAGGTGTGACATGGCAATGCACGGGCGACCGGATCCTGGGCTGACTGCAGATGTTTCCAACCTGCACGTGAGGGAAACGGGTTCCCGATTGACGGATTCATTCATTCGCATTGACAAGATGGACGACGTTGACCATGTCGCGCGAAGCGCCATTGGGATCGTTTCGCGGAGTTCTCGTTCCTGTAACCCCTGGAGCTGTGCGCTCCAGCGCTCGGAGAGCAGTCCATTGAGGCGCATCTCCCCGCCGAGTGAAGTTGGGACGGCGCGGAGCCGCGCGAGGGTGAGCAAATAATGGGTGTCGATGGGCTGCTGGCCGTGCTAGCAGAGCTGCTGGATCGATAGTGACGTGGGCCGTGCGAGGGGACTATCGATGCGGGCGCCACTGCACGTGCCCAGCGGGCCCATGACCGTCTGTGGGCGTGGCGAGTCTTGAGCGCATCGTGTGTGGCTGTTCAATGGCACGGAAACAAGTTGCTTGCCGCTGGGGAATTGATTTGTGCCGTGAAGTCTTGGGGATTCTCGCCGCTTCGCTGCGCGTACCTTGGACTCCTCGAGTAGCTCCTCTCTGCCGGTACCGTGTTGGAACGGGGACTCGGCGTGTCCGCCTGGTTTCTTAGCGGACCCATAGGGTGACGGATGCCGGGCGCAACAGCAGGCGTGGCAGTTTTGTGTTCCTGGGGCAGTTCTCTCAGAGACTTGTTGCTGAACGGTTGTCTCTCCTGCCTTGCTGACCACAGTCTTCAAGCAACGGGCGAGGCTGCGCGCAGGGCATCCGGGAGATGGGCCCGTCGCGGAGGGCTCTTGTTTTCCTTGCCCTTTCTTCCATGACCTGCGCCTTGGTGAGTTGGTGTACAGAGATTCAAGGCAGCAACTTTGCAAGAAAAACAAACGGACGTGAATCCACATTGGCCCCGAACTCGCTTTACTGTGGGGAAGCCAGGAGCTGGCTATCCAGGGTACGATCCCACCAGTGCAGTTTCGCTCTTGTTGGATGGAGTTCCAATGGGAGGCATCCTGGACAGGCCCCTGTTGTTAACATGATGCCAGTATACCCAGGCATCCTCACCAGTCAATGAATGTACAGAATTTCACAGTTCCGTGCGAAAAGCTTGGATGGATCATGGTGGAGATTCATACCTGAGATGCTCAGTGATGATCGTTTCAGAGCAACATTATGCCAGTCTCATGCTCACTGCCAGCATCCAAATGGCTTTCGCCACTGCAGAAGGCCTCCTCCTCCCCCCTCAGCCCGCCCAGCTGCCTGCACTCCCCCATGCCAGACCAAAGCTTCGTAGCATAGCAGTGCATGACATTGTGCAAGGCTCCTGGTTCACATTGGCATCTCCTCAGCTGCAATATATGCACAATACCGAACGTCTTCATCAGCAAGGACATTGCAGTCGAGATGGGTGGGAAGCACATATCCCAGTGGCCTCTTTTCCACCCAGCCTTGATTTTCATTATCCAGATTTTCGCAACAGCATGATTCGGTGCAAGAGGTCTGTTCCTGGCATCGCCCATGTGTAGCGTTAATAGAGTCATGCAGCAGCACATAGCCATTGAGCCAGGCCGATGGATCAGTCTGGGTGGCAGGGAGGTGCTTTGTGGCAGGGATGCAAGGTACAAGGGTGTACCTGCCAGCAAACGTGCACTGGGGTATACATGCTGAATGGAAACAGCATTCAGTTTGACAAGCTCAACAGAGGGCAGACTTTGCTGCTTGCAATGCTGTGGCTGATGCCACATCAGGCAGTCAGGAGGGTGCTGGTGATGCTGCATTTCTGCATGGAGCTGCCTCAACAAGGTTTCCTAGGTACCAGGAATGTTATTGGCCCAGCCATTGTTTATGGCCATCCTCAGGCAGAAGTGTGTAAAGATATACATTGTGCTGATGGCATGTGCAAGGACACCTCCCAAACACCCTTCCACACTGGGTGGGTACAAGGCTTGATGTACATTAAGTATGCTGGCCTTGTGCACATTTTGCCCACAAGAGTACTCTAATTTCCAGTTGTAAGGGTCAGTCCACAATGCCAACCCAGCAGGATGATCTGATGTTACCAAGAGATGCCAGTCTGGAAGCCAATGTCAAGTCAACTGCATGTGCTTGTGTTGAGATAATGCAGCGTGTATTCCACGAAACCATAGAAATGGCAAAGTCAACCAGAAGTGACATTGTGCTTGTCACCCAGGTGTCATCTATTGAAGATGAGGTCTTGGATATGTCCCAAACAGTGGCATCAGCATCAGCAATGAGAATGGTTGTAAAGAGCGATTTTTCAGCATCAGGTGTGGCCATGCAAATCTTCCGCACAGTTGAAGTTATCACAATTGAATCACATTTGAAACCATCTACCCAATTTAGCTGACAAGAATGGCCAACTAAACTAAGCATTGAAATGGGCAGATGAAGTCGTGCTAAATACAGACCAAAACGTGTCATCCGCATCATACTTCTGGCACCACTTTTGCTAATTATCATTATACAATTTTCCAGAAGAATTGCTTTGTAAAGGTGTTAGGTACTGCCTCGGTCTTGGTCGATGTCTGATCTTTCTGCTAACTAGGAGTGAACCTTTGTTATTTTATGGAAATTGGCAGGACTGTACTGGTGTGGCACGGATAGGAAACGGAGATGTGCGGCAAGAAGCTGATGTGGCATGGACGGGCGCAGAAAAACAACAAATCTCATGGTCTACAAGAACTTTGCGAAGTCTGTGTTATACTCTGAAGGGTACTTTATGGTGCTGCAGATGTTCCAGTTGCTGGAATCCAGAATCTAGACAGAAGACGCCTGCAAGACGAAGGTTTAAAACATGTCAAAGATGCAGAGGCCACTATTGCGGTGTGCAAGATTTCGGAAAAGCATGTGTGCTTCTGCATTCTGATGGTTCCTTTTCTACCAACATGCAGTGGTTTCAATTTATTTTCACTCTTGGAGCTTGTAAGTGTATTGGCAATTGCAGTGACTTGAATAGTGAGGAGCAGTGCTTCTTGGCCGTGCACGATGGCGTTCGCCCAGGAGTGCTCTGCTTTGTTTGTTGGCAATTTGTATTGGTGTGTGAGCACAAGAATGCGACGTTTGATGGTCTTGAATTTTTCGTCTTGAATGCTTCTGCACGCATCCAGGGTGGGAGAAGGGCTGCCTGTGGGAGGTTTCCATACATGGTGTCGCTTCGTGACTCCAACAATTTGCATGTCTGCGGTGGGGTGCTGGTGCACCGCCAGTGGATTGTGACGGCTGCACACTGCGTGGACCCACGTGATCCATCTTCTGCAGGCGCCACCCCAATTGTCGTAATTGGGGCGTGCAAGCTCGATGACAGAGAAAACGAAAACGGAGACGTCGAGGTAAAGGACGTGATATGAGAAGTGGTGTGTGATGTTCTGGAAACCATTCGCAGGATTTTCATTGCATCCTTGCGCTGCTTTGGGGGTTCAAAAAGAGGGATGGAAGGAAAAATTTCGTAGATGTTGTATATGATGCTGATGATTGGATTAAACTGTACGACGCACTGTAAGCTGAATGTCCTCACATTGGCTTTAACAATATCTATGTCACTGTGCTTTCCCACTAATTTTGAATTTGTCTTATAGACTGCAAACGTGTGAGATGTATGAGCCGTGCTGGCATACGGATGTACGTGGTAACTGTGCTGGATACATTCATTTAAAATTGATGGGTCAATGAATGTTTTGACCAAATATGTGGAACCGCCACCCTCCATGCGAGTAGCCATTTATTCCATCACAGCTGTATAGTCCAAACTTTGGGAGAGCAAAGGAGTTCGTGATCGAGCCCACGATCCCAGTTGGATGTTACTCTGTGGTGTTGTAAACAGTATGGCACCAGTAGTGCTGCTCATTTGCGTTGACATTGCAGGTGAACCTTTGGATGATCGTAGCTCTGCACAAATTGGTAATGTTGCTTTAAAGCCGTTTTATTGGCATGGAATCTGGATGGAGGCAGACCGGCAGATGCACAGAATCTTCTGCTGAAGGCAATTTGTACTGGACCATCGCAACGCACTTGCAAGGATGGCCAAGAAGGAGTGGGAGCAGCTCCCATAGTTTTCGGTGTCTCTTTCAAGCTAACGCAGTAAATAGCAATTTCTTGGAAGTAATCTTTGCCATGCTCCATTGAGAAAACGTTCTGTAAATTGTGTTACCAAATCGGCAGTATGCAAAAACTAATTTTGTGATAGCACATGAACTGTTGAAGATTTCACAGCACTGTGTAGTCTCCCAGCCCATAATTCGGTGTGGGCTTCAGAGGCCACCAGCCGCGTTGTGTGGCTGTATGGTGGTGGTGCTGGTGAACAGCAGAACTATCCCAGCATCACTGGATATGAGGCGCTGCTGACAGTTGAACTCGGTTCTTTGGGCAGTGCACATGCCGCAATGACGATTTCACCAGAACACATACATTTTGCCCACGATTGGCCTTTGGCAGGTGTAGCTGCCAGCGCAGCAACCCATCCCACCTACCCAATTGAACTGCCACTCCAAGGCTGGCTCGCCACACAGCCCCAGGTGCTAAGGCAGCGAACCGGTTCCCAGCGCCTGCGCACTCCCAAATGCTCTCTCCCCACTCCTGACACATCGGCCTCTCACTGTCAGGCACGTGCGCCATGCAAACTAGCACCCACACAACAATTTTAATGCCACCACAGTGACACCCGCTCGTTGGGAATTGTAGACGAAGCTCCAAATGTAGCACTCGTTGGATGCCAGCGAAGAACTCGACAAAATCGCCCAGCACACACTCTCGAGCGCGCTTCTTTGGCACAGAGGGGGGGAAGGTGGGGTGGGGGTGGGGTGGGGCGGGGGGAGCTGCATTGGGAGATCGCAGCGACCGCTCCCATGGAGGCGGAGGCCCTCATCCTGGTACCCAAGCAGGGAGGGCAGGCCTTGCCGCCACTTGCCGCCACGAGGTCTCTTGGGCAACACCCAACGCCTGCCGCTTCCACACAAGAAACATGAACAATTTGTGCTGTGCGTCATGGGTAGTTCCATCCGCCAACGTCATTGGTCCAACCACATCCCTGATTGGCGCTGATGGGTGGTATGGGGTTGCAGATGATGATGTACTGTGCTAATGCATTACACTGAGCCAAAGCGGTTGTAGCGCAATTGAGCTCCCCAACCGCTCCCCCCGATGATGGCAGGATGCGCTGTAAACTACCTTGCAATCTCCCATCATAATGTACACAAAGTCGGAAAATCGGTACCTCGGGGGTTCGAACTTTGGCAAAAGCTTTTTCTGTCCGTCTGACTCCATCTGACCTCAACTTCCAGCCATTCCGGCTTCCCAGACAGCAACGCCATCCACCTCTGTATGACCCTGACTCCACATTGGGCCTAAATATTTGAATTCAAATCTTACTTCGATGGCCAGAGCCGGAGTTCCCACTCCGAGCAAGTCGAAATTGGATGGGAATTCTTCTGCACCAACCAGTGGGACAGAGAGAGCAACCCATGTCAATGAGCGGATAGAGAATCAGCGGCAATCAACCAAAAGTCAGGATCTGTTTAGGACGCGACCAAGACTGATGCGTTTGGATCTAGAATGAGGCACAATGATTACAAGTTTATTACAATACAAGTACGCTGGCCTCATTTGCTTAGACCTTGCCACAGGTTAGGAGCGTTGGTGTAGTCACCTCTTTGATTGAGGTGCCAAAGGCTGGTATGACATAAGATTTCTGACCATGTAATCCATGCTCTCACAAATGCCAAAGGGTCTATGGCCTGCCAGCAGCGATGTTTTGGAGAGAGTGGATACCTTTGTCAATAGCAAATGTGTTGGTAGTGATCGAGATATTTTGGAAACTACTAGTGCCGACAAACTTTATTGAACAAAGGTGGTCAAATGAGGCAATGGAACTTGGTAGCTCAAAATCAGAATATTTTGATATGAAGCAAAGGTAAGGAAAGACACCATTTTGATTTTGAACGTTTGGCACCAATTGGATGCTAAGCAGGGGAAGAAGGGGTGCAAGGCCATGGACGCTGAGAGTCACCTAATTGCATTAAAATCTAAATAAGGTCAGATGATGCAGGATTGTGCTGCTGATCAACGACAATCAGCTCATGTCTTGTTGCATACCCTCCCTGAAGTATTTGATGTTCAAGAAATTCCCAAGAGTGCATTTACTCGCAGTCTTTGGGACTGCTCCCATTGTTTGACATGGCTTTTAGCATCTTATTTTCAACCCCCCATGATTGTCACAACCCTGGCATTGTATTTTCCTTAATAACATCTGGGAGGTGTACTGCACTGCTATATAATGATAATCCATCCTGCCATTGAATCAATGATTGATGCTTGGGAATGGGGTCTGGATATGAGCTTAGCGTCCATTGGCTCTCAGTGCACAAATTCAAGATAGTGTGATCCGTAAGAAACAATCGACTTCATCACTATACCATGCACGCACGATTAAACCACCAGCACATCCCAGCAGGCACTATCCCCACTGCATTGGCATGGCACGGTGGGGAGCACCGCGTGGAAAGTGGTCAGCATTTGTGGACTGGCAATCCCATGTTGTTGGAGGCAATTATACTCATAAGTGCCAAGATGGAGACCTAAAGAAAGAATGCCATCAGCACATCATGAGCAAGTAGTTCGTCTCATGCACAAGTTGTGAAAATTTTGCGACTTGTATTGAAAGCATTGGATGATATTCATAAGAGCTTGACTTACACAGCATGAGTTGTTTTGCCTCCAGGCATCAGTGGCAAAAGGCAGCTTCATCCATGAGGGGTGGTCAGGAGATGTCAGGGATGGAAGTGACATTGCTGCCGTGCAGCTCAGTGTCGAGTCCGATCATACTCCTATAGCATTGCCTGCAAGCAATGATGAGCTGCATGGAGGCCAGCGCGTTGTGGCCATCGGCTGGGGCATCTTGTCAAATGGGAGCAAGCCAACAGATTTGCAGCAAACGACAAACATTGAATATCTTCGCAACGGGGCATGCAGGAGCAGTGATATCTGGGGAGATATCATTCAAGACTCCATGATCTGTGCCTTTAGTGTTTTAGATCAAGAAGCCTGCAAGGGTAATTGGCCTACTATGCATTTGTCCATCTACTGAGTGCATAAAATGAATCCAACAATTTATTTAATATGCACCCCCTACACCTACTTCATCTCCTGTACTGTGTTAGGCTTGTTATTTGCGTTTTGTTTTTATGCTTAAAACGTAATTATGCCCAAAGAAAGGGGCTATTTTAATGCCTACCTTTACGTTTTTGCAGATGCCAGGTAAAGCCATGTACAGTGATCAGTCCTCCGCCCCTTGGGAAGGGAACTCTCACAATGCCATATTTTTGTCCTGCTCTGATGCCAGTATTTTGGAAGCCTTCCAGATGAGGGCAGCACTAACCCACCTTCGTGCACCACACTGGTTTATTCGGACGAGTTTTACAAAGCTGGACATGATGCTGCAATCAGTGTAATTACTTCCTATTTGCAGAGCGGTTTCATGCCCTTTCCTGTTTGCAACAGGGGATAGTGGGGGACCTCTGATCAGGCCCTTTTCCCGAGGTGGCGACCTCTCTATGGGACAACCATCGCTGGATATTGCCGTCGGTATAACATCTTTTCGAGAGATAGACTCCAAATGCGGCACTTCTGATCTGCCAAATGTCTTCACTAGGATGTCCTCGTTTCGGGACTGGATTGATGAAAAGATTTCGGTGAGTAGAAAAGTAATGTAATGTTTTGGATGAGATAGCCCACATCACCTAAGATATCGTCGGTATGATAGATCATATACACATAGGATAGATGCATATTATAAACGAACCCAGCAATTATCCAGAATGATGTACTGTCGGATCTAAGAGCACAACACTCTGGATGATTGCTGCATCTTTTCATATTATGTGCCCATACATTACCGTGTTGACGAATTGAGAGTAGAAGCTGTCAATATAGGGAAATCTGCGACATGCTTGTTGTTTACGTTAACTTTTTTAACGTCTATATTTTTACACAATGAAAATCGCATACAATAGTCAGTCTTTCGCGCTCTCGAACACTCACAACACAGCGTCCACCTCGCCCTCGGCAGGGCAAAGGTGGCATGAAACAGAATTGTTTTTTCTGCCCATTCCAACGCGTCTGGCTGCCGCTTCCCAGAATTTCTAAGTCTTTATGGACTATCTTATGTACATGGGGCTGCATTTGCGTTGCATTTGTGCTGCATTTACATATTTTTACGTTTTCTTCCGTGTAAAACCGTAACACTTATGTATACATGTAGAAAACTGCAACACCAACATCCTCGTGGGACTTGTAGCAGCCTCCGTGGCCTTCGAGAACGATGTGTGCCAACAGAATCTATGAGGATTAGGAATCTGCTTGATCGGACGTGGTCAGAGGATTCCTTTTCCCTTTTCCATTCATGGCCCTGGAACCAGCAGCTCATAGGCCTGACTACTGGAAGGCCCCGAACTGGTCTTTGTACTCGCCTGCAACACGTTTTGTTCCAACAAATAATCTATAATCTGGCTAGGTTGAGGTCCAGCCTACCCAAGTGATTGTGGCAGAACCCGTTTTAAAATTGAACAATATCATACAACACTAGGACCATAGCTGTCCACAGAACGAGGGCAACAGATGCACTTCATATTGAACTTGGGACAGCATTCATTCCAATAAACAGTCCCAGCTGCACCCTGAAGCCTGCCCCACCCTAATCAATTGCAACAGACCTTTTATCAAAATCCTGACAATGCCTTTGCAATGCGCTAATTGCTGATGAATCCTGAAAACGGCATGCAGATGGGTTGCACAAGCCACTGGGAATAATCTACCTGTTTGTTGACGCAGAATCTATGGTGATTGATGCTAAGCCACCTTATTCGACATTGGCCATGCCGAAATTGAAGATTCCTGAATTGCCTCTACAAAACAAGGATTGTTGTCCACATTGGCGTCATGGCCTGCAAGGGTACTTCATAGATCACTTGCAGTGCTTTCCTTTCTGGCAAGTTATGGAAAATTTAGCCAATTGATGCCCGCTCCAGTCCACATGATCACGGCAATATCCAGTTGCTAAATTTCAGTGATGCCTCCAGAACAAAAGGATCACTCTTGAATCTATGGCCAAACGCGCAGGTCCACAATCCACGCCCTAATCGAGGCCCATATCACCCCACTCGAATAGGGGAATCAGATTGAGCATCTTTGAGATGCGTGTGCATAACACATACATGGAACACAAGGGCTGCAACAAACATCATACACCACCGGGAATGCTGCTTTGATTCAGTCAGGTTTGCAGAATCTGCCCCACCAATTTTAACTATGTTTATTTCAGGGCGCCAGAGCTACATCCATAGCATGGGATTGGCTTTCAGTCCACACCAATAATCATATTCACTTTCAATGCCCCACTTGGAGTCGTCCTCTTCCCAAGCAAACTTGCAAAATTCCTGATCAACGCTTGCCTAACCCAAATAGATTATGGGCAATCGATTCCAACGTATTAGCAACGTCCCTGCAGTACGATCCAGCTTCAGGGACACAACCCAGGCAAACACAGAATCTCCTTGGAATGTTTCTCACTCGAAGTAAATGCCTGCAGCCACCCACGATCAAGGCACATCCTACCCCCATGCGATTTTCAACCAGTCGGTCATCGCATTCCAGCAATATCACCAGTGATGTCGAAACAAAAGAGGGGAAGCTTCAATGCCTGCATTGTCTTGCTCCATCCCCATTCGCACTCTTCCATCTCCGATGGTGGGCTGCACCGTTCACCCGAAAATGGTTCTGCCATAGTCAACTTTTTCTTCTGCTCGACTGGGACCCACAAGATGCCATTCGATTTGGCTTCTGCAGGTGCTTGAAATTCTAATAACAGTTTTGGACCTGGAAGTCGCTATAATGCCAACAACAAAGGTGTGGATGGGGCTGAAGAAACCTATCATAGGGGAAGCGAGCCAAGCAAACCAGGTCCCATACAACCTGTTGCTCGAGAACATTGCCTTAGTGTTCTGCACCTCAGTGATACCCCATCCCCCAAAATCTGGGCCCCAGCGTCACAAGTTCCAGAGATGTGCACCTTGCAGATTATGACACCGTTATGACAGCTCAGGGGTCGCATTTTCCGTCCAGCCAATAGGTGCAGAAAAAACCAACCCATTCCCACCCCGTCAGTCATAATTCTGACTCCGACAAGCTTCACGACGAACGGGACAGTAGAATCGTCCTGACTTTGGATCAGGCGGGATATCACTGATGGAGAAACTTTGCCAAATCGGACCCAAGTTCAGAATTTCTGACCTGACAGATAGCAAGACAGAGGCACTAGCACTGCGGAGGTTCAGGGAGTTCAGACAACCCCCTCAGCTCCTGAATTCCTGCCTTGTTGCGGCTGGGAGTGGTGAAAGGAAGCTGCAGCAGAGCACTAAACCCTCACGTGGTGGTGTCATGCTGACAGGTGGCCACCACCCCACTCCCTGGTTCCCTGTCAAGGTGACTGGGGATGTTGGGAGTGGGAGCCCGCACAGTGCCAAGCAGATGGGTGTGGGTGGTGCCATGCCCATGGCCATGGCCGTTGTGCTGATTCACAGGCGCTCATTGCTGCCAGCTGTAAAACACAATGGAGGCCGATTGAAATGGGAGCAGTGTGCACTCGTGAAGCGCCATTGCCACGCACCAGTAGAAAACATCCTTTTTGCGATGCCACCTGCGATGCCATTTTGACACAAATTGATGCCATCACAGCCCCTTTTATGCCATCGCACTCACTGTGACGGCATCAATTTGTGTCAGAATGGGGTCGCAGGTGGCATCGCAAAAAGGCTGTTTTCTACCAGTGACGGGTGTGGGGCCGCTGTGCTGGCCAGGACCCCACTCACCACTTACTTGTGTTGCACGACTATTGGTCGCGGTGTTATGACCACGGGATTGGGTGCGGTTCGTTGGACAGAGCATGAAATCGCAATTCTGTTTTTAACAGTAAGATGTAACGTGAGACCGCCCACCCAGCGTCAAACAGGAAACACCAAAATTGGGTCGGAGTCGGACGGAGTTTGGATATACTTTTACCCATGGCGCCCTTGCCACCGCTCCAAAAATTTCAAATGCCTTCCCACAAACAGAGCGACGTTGTGTGAGCCCGATGGAACCCAGAACAACAAAGCAATGGCGAGAATATCCAACATGCTTCATTTTACGATGTGCAGATCGTGGAGTTAGTTCTAAGATTAATTTTAACTTTCCGATTATGGGGTTTGGGTTTTCATTTTTGAGATTTAGGACAGCCTGTCCTCGTACCCCCCTCATCCCTTCATTGCCTTCATGTCTCAAAGCATTGGTGGTCAGGCAGACCTCGAATTGAACAAAAGGCGCCAGAAACTAACTTCAACGGCATGAACTCCAAGGGAACGGGCTTCAAGGCATTTGCTTCTTGGGCAAGGGCTCCAGGGCCGCGGTCTCTAAGAATCTTGAGCGTTTTTGAGCAAATACACCACCCAACAGAAGGAAGCCACGTCGCCAGATGAATCGGGGGGATGTGTGCGCAGCACGCACGGCTGTTGGCCTTGCAAATCTCGAGCCAACGATTAGGCAACGCAATTGGACGAATCAAATGAACAGAAAATTTCTGATACCGTATTGTAGCAGACATGATCGATGTGTGCGATTGTGCATTGCCACTGAAGCATTTGTGGAAAACTTGCAGGGAAGCGAAATGAATTCGCAAACACCGGCCCCTGTATTTCCGGCTAATCCACCATTGCAGCCTGCATCAACGATGCCATCGCCTACACCTCCTACACCAACCCCCCGGGCAGCGCTCCCCCCAGAACCATCTTCCTCAGCTGACCCTCCAGCATCTGCACCATCACTCGACTCGGTGATCATAAAACAACATTTACAAAGTTGTTTGTATCATTGATGTCACAGTAGTATCCAATATTAGTAATAAATTGTGGAGAGCAAGGATGACTGCATTTCATGTTGATAATACATTATTCAACACAAAAGAAACGTAGGCTCCCGAGATTGGACGACGCTAATTCGCAATGCACTTGCTGTTCTGTTGTCAAAGACAACAACCGAAACTCTGCAAAGACTTTTGCAGACTTTGTGTGGCAACACTCCGCTGAAGCGCAAGTATCCATATAGACTTCAGATGTAGTTTGTTGTTGTAATGTCGTTTGTTCTTGTTTGTTTTTTCTTTGCTTGGCCATCTTATTTGCAAAATTAGTTTCATTAGAACTACTGCAAATATGCGAAACGCAATTTATGTGCCTGTCCCCAGCTCAAGGTATTGCGCAATTTTGCGACAGTCGACTATCTATGCATTTCGTTAATTACAATGTTGACCTAGAACTGAACTCAGGTAGCTGATCCGCATCTAAGCGATTCTCCCTAACCTTTATGGGAAGTGGAATTCGGCTCAAGCTGCAGCTTACATGTGCGCATAGAACCTGCATCCGAAGGCATGCAAAAGAAACATAGGAGATATTCATATCAGTTGCTGAGCTATTTGAAGTATGGCAATGTGGAAATCTTAAAAAGACTGGCAATTTTGGCTAACCCCCACTACCACAACTGTTCGGCTGCCGTACGGCTGCCTGCATGGAATCTCTGTTCTTGTACGTTTGGATTGGGCAATTGATACAGTAATGTTGTGGCGAAAGCACATTCTTGCATTTTATTTTTTGACGAGTGTACATGTGAATCACGAAAGCGAGTAGCTTCAAAAATGAGGGTGCAATGCAGGGCCGTCCCCTTCTTCGTTCTCCTGCCGAGCAAGAAGAACTTGATGTGGTAGGAGTGGCGGGGTGCATGGCGATTGAGCAACTACAATAGGGACAATATTACACTAAACATACGTAAATTCAATATTTTGGTACTGAAATTTACCAGACCAGCCAATTACATTCAGTGATGACTAATAAACATATTCAACGTGCTGTGAGATCCTTGGGAAAAATGAATACTATGGTTACACGAGACAGAAATCGGTTCTGCCCCCTTTCTTGAAACAATCGTCCTTTGATTGTCAAGCCTGTTGAAGGTGTTTAAAAGCACCTTTGGAATCACAGACGGACGAATGTGCTTTGTACGGAAGCATCAATGTAATTCATTCCAAAACATGATGTGCCAGCACAATCATCGCCAGTACCTGTAACAGAATCCTGACGACGCAGTTATGCACTGTAGAATCTACAGTGCTAAGGTGCGGTAATACTAACCCCCATCTCAAAAGTCCTGGTTGTTATCCGATCTTTCTATGACTTTGTGAGAGCAATTCCATTGGTTAACCCATCATCATGTTCGTAATTCTTGGTCGATTTGGGTGATGTGGATGTCATTTACATAAGCCGTCGCTACACAACAGGCAGTTCACAGCCTTAACAAAAGTTCCCTTAACCAGCTCCGTCAAGGCTCAAATTCTCTGCATTATTGCACTTCGCTTATCGAACCAGGAACAAATTTGTTCAACCTGTTTCTCCTAAACTCCTGAAGAACCTTGTTTTAAACAACGAGTAGACAGTAATACGCCCTTTCAAGAGTTTCGGCATCACTGGTATCATATACTTTGTAGAACATCTCCTTGAATGTGCCCTATCATGTGCCCAAAATTCTAAATTTCAACGACCGGCTTTGCTGGCCTCGACCTAGGCCATCTGTTTTGGTTATTTTCAGCATGCCTTACAATTTTGGAACACCCACTAGTTCGATGCTCCTGCGCTGAGCAAGGTGTCTTTTGGACTTTGGTCACAACCTTCACACATTTGATGTTGACACGCCAACTCTGCGATGAGCTCAAATCCCTTTCATTACGGATTCTGCTTTTAAATCGAGCCCCATCTTCAATGCATGTCAAAGCAATCAGAAATTCCCCGTTCCCAGTGAAACTTCTTCGATGGACGAGACCAGCTCTCCATACCGTTTCACATGTCTAAACAGAAGACCAAGCCGCATTCCAGCTCTTCTTCACATATTGGCAAAATGGTGACGCCCATTGCTGCGTCTGAAGGTGCTCTATATATGGCACATCAGAGTTATTTGTATCAAATTTTCATTCTCACATAGTTGACCTTCGTCCACATAAACTGATGGTGGGCAAGGTTTCTGAGACGGAGGTAGCATAAACATTGTGAGATGGCACCCTCATTTTCATTGTAATGTATGACCTTATTGAAAGAATGGAAATATACACACCTGCGTTTTGGAAATATCATCAATGTGGAAGGTAATAAATATTTGCATTACCTCCATTAGAGATGCACAATCTGCACTGCGTTCACATTGAATTGAATTCTGATGCAGAGTCTATGGAATGCTTCCCGAGACGGCAATGTCATTGCTGTGGAAGAGGCGATAAATGAAGGGGCAAACATGGAGGTCAGAGTGGGCAGATCGGGTTACACGCCACTTATCGTTGCTTCAGTGCGTGGTCATCTGGTCATCGTGAATGTTCTGCTTCTTGCTGGTGCGGAGAAGGATGGAAGAAGCCGATTCGGCGAGACTGCAATCTACACTGTATCAGCAAGTGGCCCAACTGATGTAGCCTTGGCTCTTATTGAGGCAGGGGTTGATGTGGACATAGCAGAGTCTGGTGGATGGACGCCTCTGAATATTGCCGTGAAGGCTGGTCGAGCCCCGATAGCAAGGGCGCTCATCAAGGCCAACGCCGACCCAAACAAAGGAAATTGGCGGGGAGATACACCCCTGCACATGGTTTCCTTTTCTTCTGTGGGTCCCGAAGACCCAATCTTCATTGCAAGGGATTTGCTTGATGCCGGATCAAACCTGGAGGCTAGGGACAACCTTGGATGGACACCTCTGATGTGGGCTTCGCATTTTGGGCATGCTGGGATTCTTCAACTCTTGTTAGACGAAGGGGCAAACCCAGATGTTCGCGGCAACGAGGGCAGAACTGTGGATGGCATTATCTGCGCATGCCAAGACGATATCCCTGGGGCTTATAACTGTATACGTGGCCCCTGCAAGGAGCCAGGCGTAGTAGAAGAGATAAAAGATATTCTAGGTTGATGCCGGAGGAAACGCCCACGTTTCATTACGGGTTATGCACAATGTATCAGGTGGAAATTGACGTACCAATGCCGAATGCAGAAGGCATGGGGCGTCAGGGTTTGGTTTGATTCAATTGGTCTTTAACATATCTTTGACAAGAAATTGCTCTACGTTCCACATGGCAATCTGCAGGACAGCAGCCATTACTCAAACAGATGATTTCAAATGCGCTTGAGTGAGCACTGCGTCTGATGCTTGGGGTGACATACACCAATAGGGAATTGATTCGGGAGATTGTTCGAACTTCTGAGCATTTGAACTCCTAACAATATATCCCCGAAGTGATAGCAGTGCTTCAGCCTAATACATGCGCTTTAATGTCCATGCATTGATACATGGTGGACAGAGGTGATTGAATTCCATCCATTTCACGCAAATTTTATTATTTCTTGGAAATTGAAAAAGACCACCTCCTTTGTGTGCACTCGATTCTACCAGCACATCAGAGAGAACCATTAAGGTTTGTGCGTGTGTGAGTTCCTTGAAGCCGAGCAACTTCTGTTCAGAATTTGAACATTAACAATTGATTCTTGACTCCACGAAAGCTGGCGTTCACGATCCAGAGAAGGCCAACGCATGAGTGATCCCTCTTTCTTTGGCCATTCCGCTACCCTTAAGATAAGGTGCCTATGTTGCTCGGGCTCTGACCTCGTGGGCTGTGTGCGGTTGCGACACTGTACTGCACACTTTGGTGTCTGACGGGGGTGAGTGTTTGACCCCGTACATTCCAATCACCACCGAGGACAGGGCGTCGTGTGAGACATCTCCCTGTCACTCGCTTTTTGGATCACTGCCAAGCTCCACGGGCCTCTTGGCCCATGACCTACATAGCAAACCGGTATTATCACGCGGCAGGATCCGCTGGATTGATCCAGGCTAGGATATCCTAGGTCGAGAAGGGCCCACCGAGTACAGATCGATCCAGGCTTGGTCTTTAAGCTTATGTTTGTGCATTTACGTTTTTGCGCATTAAACGTAAAAATGCAAAAGGGGATGATTTGCAGCTATATTTACGGCTCCTTTGTACACCCATGTTACATGAGGAATTCACATACAATGGTGAGTCCTCCGCTACCTCGAACACCAACAACACAGTGTCCACATCGCGTGGGCAACAGCAAAAACATCGTCAAGCAAAAAGTCCATTTCTGCCCACTCCAGCGCATCTGGTTGCCGCTCTCCGGATCCCCTGAGTCTGCATGTACTATATTTATGTACACCATGTCAAAATTTATGCATTTTCGCGCGCATTAACATTCAAAAACGTAAGTACTTCCTCGGTCCCTAATTGAAATTCAGTTATGAACCGCAGGCCTGGAAAATCCACCAAACCATGTTAGATTTCGCATGAAACTGCCACAATGTTTTAATTTGAGTCTGTTTTGTGCTTTCAAATTTTGAGTTGATCAGCTGAGTATCCAATTCATAGTGTCATCTTGAACATACGTCACTCAAACAAGCATTTCAAGATAGCTCCAAAACAGCCGGTTTTTAAGCCGTGGATCATACCCCTTTGTGTTGCCTCCAATATTGCAAAGTGGCGTGACTTAGAGACTTGCTTCAGATTACAGATTGCATCAGAGATGCAAAATCGGAGGTTAGGCCGCCAGCTCGTCCCGAAAGGCATGAATGAGGATCTCGCCTGTCTTTTGCCTTAATCGCCAATCCCCGAATTGTGTGCCGTCTGTGCACCGCAATCTTTTCAACTTCCGTTTCAAACTACTCCCGCCGTGTCTTGGGACGTCCGCAGTTCCCTTGCCATGTGTGGGGCAAGTATTTTCCCGCGCTATTGTTGATTACATAATGGAAAATGTTACCGATGGTCTCAATTGCTTGGCACAGAGTCTCGAAACTACGGGCAAGATACTTGATCACGCTTTTTTGGAACGCGCTGGCAGTCTGCCCTCCACCTTAATATCTCTGCTCTGATCAACATTCTAAAGCTCATGTCCAACTTTACGTTACGCTTGATTGTATAATGGCGACGGCCGCAACCTTGGGCATTGGTTGTGGACATGGCTGTTGTGGAAGGGTGCCGCGCCTCGTCGCCATCTTTTGCAAGCTCTGCAGAACGGCCACCCTTCCCCTTCAGTTAGGTGTGTCCATTCTGCGCAATGCTGAGGACAAAGTTTGCTGCAATTTGCACTGCCGAAGCTGTCCTATTCATGGCGATGTTAATTTGAGCCCCGCACATCAGACAATAATGGCAGATGTAGGTGGTTCTACCCATAGAAATGTAGTTCTGGCAAAACATCAGAATCAACCCTCTCTAAACCTCATGAAATGCAAACATGAGTCATAGCAGGGCAGGTCCACAATGGCTTTCTCCTTTCAGTAATTCATGAATCGGCGGCAATCACACAATGGTCTCCAGCATACGACACATCATCGACCAATCGAGTTGCACATTCATGCTACAGATTTGCATCTTTTGGTGTTTGTGTTTATTGCCCTGGATCATGGTGTGCTTATGCATTCATCCCATCCTCTGTATGAACACAAGATATGCATGAACAGAGGTTTGTCCCCTCTGAGTTGCACATCCTGAGTTTGTGGGAAGGAACATTACTGTTGAAGTCACAAGGACAGGCAACATGGTGATTGTTCTGTCTTCTGGCAGGACGACAACAAACTGAGTGAACAATACTGGCCAAGCCCTTCTCCATGGGCTGAGGTACAGACCTGGCACCCACATCGAGTGCACATCTTGTGCTCACTTGTGTTTGCATTGTTCCTGCAGCTTGAGAAGGGAAAAGGACATCGCTACATCATGTCCATGTTCTGCCTACCCCAGGGGACATCTCTGATGGCCATGGTGCCCTAATTCACAGTGTGCGGCAATGACCATCGTCTTCCTTTTGGAAAAGCAAGACAAGAAGGAGATCTAGATGCCGCCTCTTAGGGACATGATCTTTGATTAAAGGAAGAACATTATGGGACTATTTAGTTAGGGTGGACTTGATTACATTGGGGTGATAACGCACGCAATGGGATGCAAGAATGAGTCAAAATGGAGCATTTGTGATTTATGATGTCGAAGCGACTTGCGCACAACGTGCCCATTTACCATCACCACCACCACCACCACCCACGTGCACTATCTTGCGTAACCCCTATGCTCCACAAAACCGGCCATGCGTTGATAAGGCTAGGTGCGTTATCTGAAGGCCCCCGCACAATTCCACACCTCCGTGCACTATCCTCCATGATCCAAGGTACAAATTTTGGCGAGGTAAAGTTGCTCACCACCCATGCCGCACGACTCGCTCCCCCAAATTCTGAATGCTAGGTCCCAACGGTCCACGCTCAAAATCCGGACACCATTTGGTAGCTTGGCCGATTGCAGACTCCAGTCAACCCAACGCCATGCAGTTGTACTGATGGATGCTCACACCAACGCTCCTAGGGGGGGCGTTTTCCATACGCACTCACCGACAGAGGTTCAACTGGTAGGTGCATGTGTGGTGCTGAGAACGTCGATCTAATACAATGTTGTTGCATCTCCTGCGACTGGCGGCAGCACGCCCCGGGCGGCACTCTCCCTTGGAGGCGTGCGATGCCTTCAGGAACATTGAATGCAAGGCGCAGTAACTTCAGGTCTGTCTAGCCTTGTTCCATGGATCCCAATTGCCTTTTGTCCTGGTGGCTGTTTCGCTCTGCGTCCTCTAGTCTCATGCTATACCTTAGTGGCGCCTCCCACCGGCCAACTGTGGCGACGCCAAATCAAAGGCGCCACGCGCGCCAGAATTCGCAAGAGGAGGGTGGAAAACCCACACGTGTCATGGGCTTGGAGCGAAGATTGTTGGCGTTTTCTGTGCAGTTTGCCTTGCAATAGGTTGATTGCCCCTTTCGGCTTCGCCGCCTCCTGCACCGGCATCTAGGCCACTCGTGGTGCCAAAATGAACAGTGCCATAGGTGGGTACACTCCCCAAGGAAGATTCAAGATCGTAGGGCCTAGGGTCCCATGGGTCGGATCCCTCAGGTGTCTTGCTCGCAACTCACCTGTATTGCGACAACCATGGATCGCTAGGACCAAGCATTCAAAATTTGGTGATTCATCCAATTTGGGGGGCGAGTAATCTAATGCCAAGTTTTGGCCAATGGTCACCACTTGGCGCGTTGGTTTTTCTCACTTCTGGTAAAGGTAGTCCCTCCGGACTATGTGTGTGTGCGCCTGCAATCGCACTCGGCGCCCCTTCTACCCACACTCTCATCTGCAGGCTGTGCGTTGGGAGGGAATCTGGGCTGTCCAGCGAGAGGGAAACAGGAGATCCAGCGAGGTGGATTTCTGGCCATGGGGTGCGAGGTCGTTGGCAAAGGTGGAGTGGCTGAAACGAGACTGTGACGACCGGACTTCCAGCGCAGAGGGCGACATGATAGAACCGATCTTGAAGAAGAGACACGGCAAAAGCTTTTTGTTGCTGTTGCTGTGGCGTTCTATGACTGTTCTGCGGCTGTTCTGGAGTTGCTCTTGCCATACATGTTAATTACGTCATCATGGTTACGTTGACGCAATTGTGCATAAGTATGCCTTCTATGAAACGCCTATAACAACGCCTGCATGAAGTTGCATGACAAATGTTCCGTCAGGCGGCCCCTCGAGAACACCAACACGACATGCACCTCGCCTCATAGAGGGCAATGATGTCGTCGACCATACGGTCGTCCTCTACCTACTCTAGCCTGTCTGGTAGCTGGTAGCCTGTATGATTATCACGTCCGAAAAGTGCTTGTTGGCAAACTCAAACCTTCCCTTGGGCTGCATGGCAAGCGACAGCGACATTCAGTCACCAAGGAAAGGTCAGCCCAGGCTGTAGGTCTACAGGGTGCACAAATGCACAAAATTATGCACAATTACGTGTATCTATAGAAACTCTGTAAGTACGTGTCAACATGCATATTTATACACATGGATGTGCGTAAGTAACAAGCTTGCCCGTGGCCAGTCGGGTCGACTTTTGTCAGTGCCAATCTTTCAACAGAAATGTTCACAATAAAGCACCATAAAGCACTATGCCCTCATTGCGTTTCCCAATGGAGTTTTCAAGGCCACCCGAAGAGGCTGCAGCCGCTGTCTTCAGTCGGAGCCATTTTCTTTGTCCAATCACAGCGGGATGCTTTGCCAATGCCTGGGAAGCCAGTTGGTGCCAAAATCTAACCCTAACTAGGTCTATATGACGCAATGGTTGGCTTTACTTGGGAGTCCTACTTGGCACTAGTATTGTGCTGAAAGTCGAGGTACGGGGAGCGGTAGATACTGGCATCGATAACATTGGTGATTTGAAGCACACCGTCTCCGGCTCGGAAACTGTCGAACAGGGCCGAGGCAATCTGAGTAATTCATCCACAGGAATTGCACCCCAAACAGTCTAACGGTCACACCGTTGCTTTTTGTTGTAAAGCACCGAATCCCATGTGCTGGTGCATGCATCGAATCAGCATGCACGCTGCACAAATCAGCCCTTCGGGTTGTGCCTGCTGAAATGGGTGGACTCTTCTCACGGATTCAAACACTTGAAACAGGCTTCAAAACTTCCAAGTTTTTCAGACGCACTAGAGCCAGTTCCGGATAGCCCGCCACATCAAGCAACAGATGCGGCACCATGTAAGCAACACAACCGTACATATCAGTCTTGGGTTCCTGTTCCCTTTAAAGGAAGCAAAATTCCCCTTGCTGCCTGAATGCAATCAAATGCGTCAGTGAAAGATCAAGGCTTGAAATGTGCCCTTGTCAGATCATCACTGGGCACCACTACCCGAAGCACAACAAATATCGTGGATTTTGATTTTGAGGCCTTGCCTCAACTCAATATGCTTGTTGCATCTGCTGGTTTATTGACTGACTGATCGATTCACTAATTGGCGCTCAGTTGAGATAAAGTACTCGCATCACAACCAGTTTGGAATACTCACATCAATACCGAATTCAAATAAGTAAAAAAGAACTCTGATGTCTTATATTACCAAATTACAAGTCTGCTGCCAGGACTGTTCGGCACTCGACACTGCTGGACTAAAATTTGCCTTATGCACAGCAGCACACTGTCTTTGGTACTATAGGGCAACAACGGGCAGATTTGGTCTGCATACTCCTTTTCCCAAAATACATATAAATGTCTCAAAACTGCTTAACATTGTCCAACCAAGAGTGGTCATACGTTGTGCACCAACATTTCAACACTTTTGTCAGTTCCACAACTTGTGTGCACAATTCAAACACAGTATCACAGTCGGCTTGTTCCCAGTGAAGAGTACCATCACAAACATCAACGACAGACCTGATATTGCGAATCAACAGTCACCAGCAACTTCCCACTACTTTGCAAACACAAGCATCAACCTATTGCCTGTCGCTTTGTTGACAAGCACGCTGACATCCACCCAATCAATGGGCTGACAAGATGGGCCACGGAACTCTACAAACTTGTTCCGTCCACTTATTCAGTGTATGCTAAAATGTTTAATTAATTCGTTCATTAATTGATTGCTGTGCAACAACTGGCTTCGGGATGTTCTGTTACTTGCAACACCCCATGATTGAATTGGAAATGAGCCTCTATTACACTGTTACCAGAAAATGACACATCACTCAGGGTTGTGCTGCCAGAGCATGCCTATTGGCTTTTGGTTGAAAACATCTTCCCGAAACTCCTTGTAGCCAATGCTGCCACCAGAAAGGCGCAGTCCTTGCACATGAAATAACTCATCTGTCACAAAAAAAACACTTGCAAAATTCTCCAGTGTCACTGGATGCCCAATGTGGGCCCTGAACAGGAAACGCAGTCTCAGGCGTTTCTCTAAAGAACAACTGAATACTTGAGGACTCTTGCTGATGACATCCCTGGGGCTCAGTCGCATGGTGTCTTTAATGAACACTATCTTTTGCTGCATCTTGGGGCGCTCTAAGTCGAATGTGAGTATCTGTGGCACTGCTGTGTATATCCTGGAAAGCTCCCCATTCACCAGTCCGAGATTTAGCAAGCACTGGTGGTTGGCAGTCAACTGCTCCAAGGAGCAGAGCAACAGATTGGGCTGCTTTCTGAGCACGACTGCCAGGGCATCGCCATGAATGCCCACACTCACCAGCCACTTGACAGCTGGCTTCAGAAACATGTCCACAGAAGACGCCAGCACATGTGGGCATCGTCTCAGGACAGCAGCCAGCGCATCACCATGAACCCCGTTGCTGGCTAACAAGTCAACGGTTGGTTTCAGAGCATTGTTGATGGAAATATGCAACACAGATGGGAACTTCTCGATGATTGTCGCGATATCATTGCCTTGCACACCAACGCTTGCAAACCACTCGACAGTTGGTTGCAACTTGTCATCAATTGAAATGGCAAGCAGATATGGATGCTGCTGAATGAACGTTGCCAGACAAGCCCCATGCATACCCACGGTCTCTGCCAGCCATTCCACCCTCGGTTTCAATTCTCTGTCAATGGAACACCCCAAAATCTCTGGAGAAACTACAAGCATGCGAGGCAACTCTTTCCGCGGCACGCCGAGCGAGCACAGGAACTCTATTCTTTCCGAAAGAGCCCAAGTGGGCAAAGTCCTCGCACATGCCCGCTTTTTCAAGATCGACACCGCATCCTCCCTGGAGAAGCCCTCTCGAAGAAAATACGCCAACCTCAGTCCCAGATCAGCCGGAATTCCCGCAACTATGGGCACGGGCCTGCGCACCAGCTCCAATTTCATGGCCTCCTCGGACAGGCCCAGCCTTGCCTTCAACCACGCCACCCTGCTCGCCCATTCATCCATGTCGTTCCGGTTCACAAGCTCAGGGTGGCGCGAAACGGCGGCTGACGCCTCCTCCCGCGTCAGCCCCAGATTCCGAAGTGCACCCACAACAGCTGCCCGCCGCCCTGGGCGCGACATGCGCCCCTTCCGCTCCAATCCCCTCACCACCTTTCCACTTGCCAGATCTTTGGCGCAGGGCTGCGTGCAGAAAGCCCTCCCCGTGAGTGGCCCTGCCAAGCGCCCGTATCTCTCACCTCCCCCTGCAGAAAATCCGGCCGCCGTTCCACTTTCCAGATCTCTTGAACAGCACCGCGCGCCATAACCCCTCGCATTGGATCCCCACGACAAGCGCGCGGATCCTTCACCTCCCACTGCTGCAAATGCGGCAGCCGTGCCGCCTTCCAGATCCCTTAAGCAGCACTGTGTGCCCGAAACACTCCCGCTGTGTTGCCACGACAAGCGCCCGCGTCCTTCGCCTCCCGCTGCTGAAATTGCGCCTGTCATCCCATCACCCGCGATTTTCGAACACCACTGCGGGCCCAGAACCCTGTCCTTGAGTTGGCGCAACAAGCGATCACATTCCTCACCTCCCGCTGCCCAAAGTGCGGCCGAGACAGCTTCGATCGCCAAACTCAACGCCGGTACGGGGCCCATGGCACTGCCTCTGCATCGACGTGCGCGACCGGTGGCCATCCCACACGCTGAAAGCATGCCCCTGTCTGAGAGTCGTGCACGCCGCCAGATCGTCGATGCCTCCGCGCAGGTCCTGAGGCGCAAGGGCGCCAAGTCGCCGGCAGGCCCAAAGCGAGGGCAATCCCGCCAGCCCCTCCCCGCCATATTATTGAGCAAAAAAGAAAAAGTGTAAAAGAAAAAAGGGGCAAAAGGAAAAGTGAAAAAATCAGGAAAAAGCAAAAAACTTTGAAAGCCAAAACTTTAGGTCGAAGTCACTGGGGCCCAGGCCAGAAGATGTGGATTAGGCCGAAAATTTAGGACCAGGTCGTTGAAGTCGGGCAGGTCTTGTTTCCAATCCATCCAATGCACACCTTGTACTTCTCCCTTTTGACCTTGTGTGCGCGTGTTGTGACTAACCTGGCACCATACGGTGCTCTGCGGGAGCTGCTGCCCCTGCGCCGGCCAGTGCGCTGTTCAAGCTGTTGCACGACAAAAGGTGGTGTAGCGGTGCTGACGATAGAGGAGTACTTTTGTGCGATTATGCACACATAAGAAATACAATCAGCAGTGTTCAAAATACAAGCGATGTCACATTTTGCCAGAACCCCATACAAACGCTAGCTTCAGCGATTTTCCGAGTACATCAAGAACATCTCTTGATCTCTTGATTGTGTTCATTTCCACGGAGTATTTTGCTTCCATTCCTCATCTGCCAAGGTCCCTTTGGAGTGCCGTATTTCTCTTCTTTGAGATTGAGCAACCATTCAGATGTGCACACTTTTGCGGCTTTACATTGCCCTGCAGTCTCCTGCTAGGTGGCACAAGGCTCTTATATCTTGCATTATGGTGGGTTGGCACCTGGATACTAAAGTTGATGGACTACTTTGGATTTAAAACAAGGCACACACAACGACCAAGTTGCAAAGTAAGGTATTTCAGTACTGTGAGCAATCAAAGAAGCAGCAAACAGGTTATGACATTTGGGATCATGCTGTGTTGCAAGGAATTTTGCATACTCAACACGATCACATTCATAATGGTGTCCACACATTATTGATATGCAAGATTGAGTAACTGAAACATGCAGCCCCATGTACAATGTGCAGAGCGGTGGCTGGGGTTGGTCGAACCACACAGTACAGGCTTGCCTAACATCGCCCCAGCATGCTTCCATGGAACTCCATGTAGCCAATGCCAGAAAGGCACAGTCCTTGTATGCGAAACGATTCATCTGTCATATTGAAAACATGTGGGAAGTTACTGCAAGTGACACGGTGCCCAATGCATTCCCTGGAAAGAAACCTTGGCCTTAGGCGATTCTCTAGTGACAAACAGAGTATTTGAGGAAATTTGTGAATGACATCCCCGGGAGTCAATCGCATAGTCTCCTTGATGAACTGGATCTTCTGCTCCATCAGAGGACTTTAAAGAGAATATCCAAGTATTGCTGGTAGTGCACTGTATATCTTGGAAAGCTCAAGCTCCTCTACCCCAAGTACCAGCAGGTACCTGTGCGTGGCATTCAAGTTTTGCACTGAGCAGTTCAGCAGAGCAGGATGCTGCACAAGAATGGCATCACCACAAACGCCCACACTGGCAAACCACTGGACGGCCTGCTCCAGCTTATTGTCAGTTGAATAGCCAAGCACTTGTGGACATCGATGATCAGGAATTGCAAGAGAAACCCCGTGTACGCCCCTGTTTGCCAGCCATCCCACATTTGGCTTCAATTTGCTGTCGATGTTGGGACCCAGGATCGTGGGACAAGCTGCCACAAGTCATGGCAACTTCTTCCTTGGCACGCTGAGGGACACTGGAAAGTCCAATTGGTCGCAAGGGCTCGGGTGGACATCGACCGCACGGAAGGGCGGCCCCTCACAATCGCCTTCACAGCATCCAGGGAGAACCCTTCTCAACCAAATTCGCAATGTTCGCTTCCAGATTCACCGCCGTCAGCATCCTTAGGGGCACGGGTCTGCGGACCAGCTCCGCTTTTATGGCCCTATCGGACAGGCCCAGTCGCTCCTTTAAGCCGGCCACCCTCTGCCCATTTGTCAGTGTTCTTGGATTTAAGGAAATCGGGATGCCGCGAAGCCACCTTGGACGCCTCCTCCCGCGTCAGCCCCAGCTTCTGCAGCGCCCCCGCGATCGCTTCCTTCCTCTCGGGGGAAGACGCGGGTCGCATCCTCGTCAATCCTCTTTTGCAACCCCCCCCCTCCAGATCCCTCGAACAGCCCTCCGCAAAAGAATCTTCGCCAGAGACATCGCCACAACGAGCACCCACCTCATTCACCTCTTGCTTCCAAAAATGCGGCCGAAATGGCCTCGATCGCCAAAGTCGGCGGGTGGGCCATTGCCCAACACCCGGCGGACATCAGCGCCCCGCGGCAAAGTGGCTTGCGGCCAGCATGTTGGTGTCCGCGCGATGAGTGCAGGCCTTCAGATCTTCTCAGAAGACCTTTCAGAAAATATTTCAGATAATCGCTGCCGCGCGCAGGCTTCGTGCGGGTACAGGCGAGCCCGCGTTAGGGCCTCGCACAAGCGCGCATGTGGTCGCCAGACGCGACAAAGGCGCGCAGCCACTCCCCACCGCCGTTGCCCCCCTGCACGCTGGACGAGAAGGGCCCTTCTCTCCTTTCACTGATAAAAAAACAGTGGCCTGTTTTTTCTACTCGAATGCGGCCCCCTGCCAGATTCGCCAATCTGTCACGGAGTCCGCCGCGGCCCGCGCGAATTGCGAGGCAGGCTTGGCTTTGGGCAGCAAACCGCTCCCGGCTAGCGCCGAGCGAACGACCTACAGCCTCCGCCACACACACGCAAGGTCGCCTTGGCCTGGAACCCGCGGCCTTTTGGCACAATTGGCGCTTTTGGCGCATTGGCATTTTGACGCATCGGCTGCGTGCCCTTGTGGCACTTTGGGGGCTTGGTGCTTTGACGAATTGGCCCTTTGGCCGTTGCAATTTTGGGGCTTTGGCACGTCACCTGCTGCTTGGATCGATCCGGGCTCCTCAAGCCACAAGCGCCCGCAAGTCGTGAAAACCTGTCGCGAACGGCATCGAATCTGTCGGCCGAGTCGGCAGGAGGCGGACCGGGATCCCGCAGCCGGAGTCTGGGCGGCAGGGATCGCGCCGGTGCGATTCGGCGGGAGTTTTTATTTCGAACTTGGCGTGGAATTTGCGGAATTTGCGGAATTTGTGGCGGTCGTGTTGGCGGTTGGTGATTTTGGAGGAGGGAGGCGATCAGCCGCGGGTGGCAGCATGTCGAGCAGGCGTAGCTCGAGGCTGAAGCTCAGCCACAGGAAGGCGTCCCGAGACCGGGCGGAGGTGAGGCACCGGTTCGCAGCGGGAGGGCAAAAAAAGTTGCGGGGGAAAAAGCGGGAGAGAGAACATGGCGATCGCGCCTGTGTACTGGGCGGGAAAATCGAATGAGGGACAGTCGTAGGGTGGCGCGGTGGTGGTGGGTTTTGTTGCAGTTGCGGGTAGGGGGGCTTGGGAAGGGGTGACCTGAGCGGCAGGGGTGAATTCCTCTTGGTGAAATTTGCTTTCAAAAGACAAAGCGTGGCCCTGGCGCCTTGCCAGCGATGGCGGCAGCAGCATGGCTGCGTTTGGGGATCAAGCTGGGCTGCTTATGGGTGGGTGTTCTCTGTTAAGAAGGCATGGTTTCGAATGGTGGATGAGGGATTGGGCCCATTGTGTGATGCATTTAGTCAGTCTTCTGTGTGACTCTGCTGCCATCTCCAGGGTCGCTGCGAGGATGATCTGACACGGGTGGAGCAACGCCGGATTAACCGGGCGATCATGCAGTCACTGGAGAATGCGCCACCAGGGACAGTGATGGCCATGGGGCTGGCGGAGGGCCCTGGAGAGGCGGTGGTGCACGGGTCAGGTGGGCATCGCAGAGGGGACTAAAACCCTCATTTGTCACTGGAGGATGTGCCCTTCAAAATGCGGTATCGGGGCCTCCTTTTTCAGCGTTAAACGACCATTTTTCACCCTTTGGATTAACACCAAACCCAAGCATGCTGGCACCACTGTGTCCAGAGAACACTATGCAGTATAGGATCGTGCACCCTGTCAGGTCCTACCAGCCTCAGCAGAACCCAACGATGCAGGGCAAGAGCATTTGTCCATGTGGGGCTGGACGATGGGTGTGGGCACAAGGGTCGTTGGAGTGAGTAGCAGGGCTCAGTTTGTCTGTGCATTGCATTCAGAAACAAAACTGCATAGTCACTGTGCTGAGGCCTTGGGTATCCTACTGTGCTTCTGAGAAAGGAGCCTGTGGCCCCTGCTGGTGTGGCCCAAACCACATGCTGTGCTTTGGGATTTTTGTGTTGCGTTTGCAGACCGCTGCAGGTCACTGGCCCTCACACATGTATTTTGACCGTGTAAGGGAGATGAATTGGCCTCCTGGGGATGCCCGTTGCATTCCTTTGCTGTGAAATTGTCACACCATTGTAGAATACGATAAGGAGACCTTTGACCACAAGCGTCTGCTTAGTGCCGCCGTATAACTCCTGTGTGCCTACTGCTGGCAGAGGCTCAAGGCGACTGCGAAATGCTGCCTGATGAGCTGCAGGCAGCCACGGAGGGGAAGCCTTGCATGGTGGCAGAACCTGTCCCGTTGCCCAATTCTGCAGCAAAGAATACCGAGCCAGCCACAAATGTCCATCATGGGTCAGTCGCAACTGACAAGCCCAAGAAAAGCGGCGTTGCATGCAATGAGATGGCAGATGATCGGGGTGGGAATCTGGCTACAGATGTGCCAGTTCGACAGGCCAGCAGACTGCCAAGCTCCAGGGCAAAGAAGATCGTGAGGCAGTCGCTGGCAGAGCAGGTGAGATTGCACCCCAGTGCCCAACAGGTGCTGTGCTGCCTTCCACATTTTGTGAACTTGACAGTGCACTGTTCGGCTGAAAAGTGCAGTGAAAGGCTTTCAGGAACAATTCGCCCACTCACAATTGTTGGTTTGGTTCTCTTGGGCCCCAGATTCTTGGGGACACATGCCATTGACGTGAACTGGAACAAATGGTGGCTGTGCACCACAAGTTTGTGCGATTTTATTCTGTCCTTGTGTAGTTTGTGTGAGGCAACCCTGTAGCACTTGCTTTGACAGTGTGATTGCTGATGTTTGTTTTCCTTCTTCCACTGTACATTGTTGCAGATAACATAGGCAATGTGTCTATGTGTATATGTATGCTGGTGTTGTATATTACTCGAAGTATATCAGTATGATTGCTAGAGCTGCCTCAATATGTTAAGTTGCATGTCTTGTGACAACTCACCTGCTCTCAACTGCTGCATTCTCAGTCACCTGGCAAACCAGTGTGGCACACAGAGTGCCACAGCCTAAAGCAGGATCTCATGGGATTTCTACAGCTTTAAGCAACAAAACAGAGCTCCGATCTGTGCTGTGTGCAACTGGGAGTCAGCAGTGCAAGCTGGCGATGCGTTCTTGAAGAGAACGAAAAAAATTGTTTCCCTTTTTTGTTTATAACCAGCCATAGTAATATGCAGATACAGAAATGATCAGAATTTGCAGTATGCTGCATCAATCTTTGCTTCTGTAAACTACAGAAACTACAGTAAGCATGAGAATGCAAAGAGTCGAAAATGCCTTTTGACTGGCCTGTTGCTGTGCATTACTAACATGCAAAGCAGTGTCAGGTCGGCACATTTCCCTGCTGATATGGATGCCAGATTCAGATTCAATTCAAAAGCAATGGTGATGGACAAACAAACTGATTACGCGCAACTGCTCATGGACGACATCAAGCTTGAGAATGCAATGGTGGCAAAGATGCTTTGCGTCTGATGGCTCTAGATTGTGTGTCGCTGACATGCAGAGCGATGGCAGCTCGATGTCCTCCCCTGTCTTGAAGGCCAAAGAGAATGTCGAGGGCTCTGACTTCAGGCCGTCATCAGAAAGCTCCAGCTCGGAGAGTGGCGATGACTGTGATGATGAGGACGATGAAGACTTTGATGCAGAGGAGGAAACCCCAAAGAAAAGGAAGTCACAGAAGGTGAGCCATGGATGGAACCAGTCTGTGAACATAAGTTTCTGTAAGAACAGAATTAAGAGGTGAATAGCCGAAACGTCGTTGAATGTGGATTGTGGATGTGAATGTGGACTGGAATATGAATGTAAGATGATTTGTGATATTTATGCGAGAAGTGGAACATGTGATATGTGTCATCCAGGTCACACATAGTGGGTGTTGAAAGTTGAACACCACACTCACTGTAAGGTGAACATATGTTGCAAAGCACTGCAGAATGGTACAATAGATGAGCAATGGCTGAAATAGATTAGTACCTGTAGCACAGGTAAAGTGGAAAATGTGATTGGCATGATACACACACTAGGATTAAATACGAGCAAACAATTTGGAACCAAAAACTGCATGTGATTAGGGTCAGTGCCCACCATTGACTATTTTGGCAAAACATCTTTGCTGCATCCCATATCAACAGATGGTTGTGTATCATGTGATGCAGCACTCAGCAGCAATCCCTTCCCAATGCGATGCATCTCAGAACAGATGTCTTTGCAAACAGGCAACCAATGTTGGAATACCAGTTGCTACAGTGCACCATGTTGGAAATAACATTGGGCGAAGCTATTGTTTCATGTAAGTATACATGAGTGGTGAGGCGTTGTGCAGATTAAACCTGGCTATGCAGGTCCTCATCTTCTCCTTGCACCCAATTCATGCTGATGGCATCTTTTCCTTCGTGCCAGTTTTATGGCAATTATTTTCTGCAGTTTTGTTTAACTAATTGTTTGTTTGGAATGCAGAAATCCGTTTCGATGGGTCCATCAGGAGGGAAGAAGGCCCCAAAGTCCGTTGCTGTTTCAAAGCAAGGAGCAAAATCTGGAGCCAGGAAGAGTGCTGCCAACATGTACGCCTCACAGTTGTTCTCAATTGGGTGGGGAATGGTCTTGTGGCAGAGGAAGTAAACATCTGTGTGGGGGAGGCACTTCACACTTCTCTTGTTGTTCGGCATCAAAGCAGTCGCTCTCCTGTTAGGATGGAAAAAAGCTGTTGGACAGAGAGGGCAGGAATGGCCAGAAGAAGGAATGTGCATTGATGCCACGTCTTCCTTTGTATTTTGGCACCCTTGTCAACATCGTGCACTCCCCATTTCTGATCATGATCCAATATCTGACATGTAGGAAGAGGGACACCTCAACCTCCCGACCATCTAAACCTGTGAGGAACAGTGTGCAACCGGCACGTGCAGCAGCATTGCCTAAGAGTAAGGGGCGCTCCAGCTGTCGTGGCCTTCCTGTGGCGTCCCCAAGTCTGGGTGGCATAAAGCCAAGGCAGATGGCAAGCATGGAAGGGGGCACTGCAGCACCTAAAGAGATGGGCCCCAATTGCAACACAGGTGGGCTCCAGGTGATTTCTACATACTGAAACTAATAAATTTGTTCAATTCAATTGCATGTCATGGTAAGTGTTATAGACTACCCTATTGACAACATCAACAGAAATAAAATACGAAGCATGAACTTGGAGTAAACATTTGAATCTGAATGGGTGATAACTGTGTGTGTCGTGGTTTTGAGGGGAAGATAGGATCCATCAGCAACGCTTTTGACTACTTTGCTTTCAAAGTGCCTTGTAACGGGTGGCAGGTATTGTAACCGCTATTGGACTGATGTCTCTCATCGTCTGACCCACAGTACTTCCAGGCAATCTGAGTATTCTTGACACTTGAGCTGTGACCAAGGTGCCTTTACTGCCTTGCCTGTATGTATTTATTTAGGCATTCATACTCAAATAACAGAGAACATAATGCATAAAGTCTCCCAGCCTCACAAAGCAGTTTTGCTGTGCAGTTTTGATGTCTACCTTCTCCTGCCACATTAATACTACAGTGCCATCCATTTTTGTTGCGCTATATTGAAGTGTGTCAAGCCCATGCAATTGTTAGCCACTGTCAGATGTGGATACTCGTGCAACTGTTTGCTCTTGAGTTGCCATTGTCCTCGTTTTGTGGCTCCATTCCACTTGCCAACCTTAACCCAAACCAGAAGATCCGGAATTTTGGACGCAACTCCTGTACAGTGGGACCAAAATACCAGAGGCTTTTCCCAGGATTGCTGACACGTTTGTGCCCCCTGTCTTGGATATAATACCACAGAACGTAATGCAGCCTCAATCTGGAGCAACTACGCATGTCCAGATTGAACAAATTGCTCCCATTGCACCTGTTGGACAATCTCAAGCCCTCTTCTCCTGCAGAAAGCCGATGCAGCAACAAAGAGAAACACAATGGGCACACGATGGGCATCTCCCTCCTGTGTGAAGATGGTAGCACTTGGTGGATTTGTGCCATTCTACGGTTTTCAACTTCACGAATGTTTGTCATAAGGGCTGTTCTCCCTTGTCCCTGAGCCGCTGTAGCAGGCACAACCATCCCACCAAGCGCTGCAACATTTTCACCCCATTTTTTTGCAAGTTTAATCGATTTATCAGTTTGCCATTTGAATTACGAGTTACGATGGGTGTCTTCAGGGCTTTTGCTGGGCGCTTGCATAGAGTTCCAGGAACTGATTCATCAACTCACTTCTCGAATAAGTCCAAAGGAAAACCAGTGTCCACTGGCTGAACTTTCAGGGCACTCAAACTTACAATGGTTGCTGCAGGCGTGGAAACAGCCAGTAGAAAGCCAACTGCCTGCTCACCACTTCGTCAGCTAAATGGTATGGCTGCTCCACATCGTGAGCCAGGTGCAACAACCCCCTTGGCTGGTGCAGTATCCCTGTAGCAGAATTTGAGACCTTGCAATTTCAGCGTTGACCGCACGCACATCCTGTCATGATGGTGCCCTGGTGCCTCAAATCAACTCTTGCTGTTGTGCACTTATCCTTTGCCCTCTTTGCATACTGCCCCAGAGAGTTCTGCATCACTTCCACAGCATATGCTTTTATTGCGAGATGTGCAGAAAGTCAACAGACATACAGCGATCGCTTTGGGCAGCTAATGCTGAAAATCTAGCTCATAAAGGGAATGCCCATTGCACTGTTGTTTTCCAAGATGCATTGACTCCGCCCAAAATGGTGCACCCATTGGCTGGATCTTTTGTTGCCCATCATGGCCTGCAAGATGCATGGATTTTGTTTTTGATATCTTTTATGGCAAAAGTAGTCCTTGGAATTTCAAAACAGTTGCCATCTTTATTTTCATCATTAAATGCTGATGTTGCGAATGAGAAGTGGTCAAGCTGTTGTTACTGGTGCCTTTTCGCTGGCAACATGATTAATTGATTGCTTGGAACTCCTAAAGGTGGGCACTGGTCTGTGCATGCAGGCAACACCAAAATCAAGCTACCAACTGTCACACCAGCTGCATTGTCTCCGTTTGTTGGTTCCTGTGCCTTCAGGGCCCCAGGGCTCCGGAAAGTTCGTGCAAAGCCTCTGACACCCAAGAAATGATCAAACTCCAAATGCTCGCGCTTGCCATTCTCTGTTTTGCTTTCTACAAGTAAATCTCTGATCGCTTCCGATCATCATCTGATCATTGTCCCTTGCGCCAAGAAATGACAGCACAGGTGGGCTGTTCTCCTTCCACATTTGACACAAGACAGCACTGGAAATCATCCCCCAAAGCAAAAGATGGTTTCGCGGTGCAGCGTGCATCATGCACTTGGGCCAATTCAGCCCTGAGAAGCATGGAGAAACAAGGAAATGACTGAGGATATTTTGGACATTCGGACATTTGCAGCACATCCTATTCTTCTGAGGCCTCTTGTAAATGACTGCATGGGTTCTTGGGTTCTTGGCATGCAATGGTGAGGAACACACCTCCAGCTTTTCGATCTTTTCCTCACTCGTCCAACTGGCCCTGTACATCGATCGCAACAAGAACTGAAGATGTTGACTCTGTACATTGACCTTGCACATTGGTGCTGAGGGTGGTACAAGCCCTTGTGTACAGAATTGATGTTTTACTTTCCGGTTCTGAGATGGAGATTAAGGACAATAGAAGGGCATGCTGAATTGCACAACTCTTGGTCTGGCATTTCCTATCGAACATTACCACTAGTTTTGGCATGCACAGGGGCTGGAAGTAGAATGCTGTCCAGTAGTTCCTGAGAAGTCGACTTTTGATTAGTTTTCGTTACTTTGTTTGGTACCGGGGGCGGCTGGGCTGAACGATGTGGCGCCAGGTTTGCAATCAACTATGAACCCATTTAGTCAGGCATTGGAGCTTGAAGCTCGATTGCAATTGCATCGATGGGGAAGAGGGGTTGGGCTGATCTGTGTGTCTGCTGACAGAAAAGGGGGGTAGGGGAATATAGGAAAGCAAACCATGATGGTGGGCAGTGTGTTTACAGGTTCCAAGCACATTGAACAGCCAAACAGAGAATTAAACTCAGTCTCTACGTATCTGTCCACAATATAAAACAGTGTGTGTGAGATACGGACATTGGAACAGAATCAACACCCCAAACGGGACAGGTGCCTTGGAGTGTGTGCGGCGGGGGGGGGCTAAACCCATCCCTCCACCACCTAGAAGGTAGTCAGAAAAAGAATGTCCCAAATCATTGTGCGATGTTATGTACCTAATATATACTTCAAGTACTGCCATAAATAGACACAATCCAGGAGAATCAATATATAAAATGAGTCTGCCCTCCAATGCTCACAGATCTATTTGGCACTTGCGTGCCCCTTGAACCTGTTTCTTGACAAAGCCACTGCAGCTCACCTGTCCATGAGCATGGCCTGACAGCAGAGGACCTGCTTGCCTCTAGGCATCCAGCAGAATGAATGTGGGCCCCAAAAGCATAGCAGCTTTATGACGTGCTGTTCCTGTCTTGATTGGCTTGAATGGTACACAATCGGCATTCTATCAAGGGTACATTTTTGTTGGTAAACAGCGGGAGTCGTACTGTTTATTGACAATCACCGTGATATGGGCATTCCGGTAATTCTCAGAATTGTGATGTTCGAATGTCATACTACCGTTTGTGCTGTTAGTTCTGGCCCTTCCCCCCGATGCATGTTGTTCAACAAAGCAAGAAACTGTACATGAGGTACAAGGGAAGCCAGTTTACAGTTTCGCCCCAACACCTCTGCAGAACACCTCTGCAGCAGTTGCCAACCATACTCAGCTGCAAATTGTCTAGCCCGACCCAGTTTACCCAATTAGATTGGTGGACACCCATTGACGGTGATATGGCAGTGACTGATCCACCATTGACAAATGGTTGACAACCATTGGTTGTATGACTATGAACACTAGTGGAAATGGCCCAAACTGGGACCCCAGACGACAATAAATGACGCCTACTGGGACGCCACTGGGACGCCACTGGGAAGCTTTCTCTCACCTGGAAGGTGCAAGAAAGCGTAACTTTGTTCTCGCGGTTGTGTCTCCATGCCCTTGGCCATGCCTGCCTCTGACATAGTCCCACCCCAAACCTAGTATACCACCGTTGTAATGATTGTACTACAATCGGATGCGAATCATGTCGTTCGCAGCACCAGGGAATATGCCGGGGCAATACCTGCCAGCTCCCCATCATGTGGCGTTCTTTTTCTACCCCACACTCTGACAGCGCGATGTGAAGGAGAAATAACGTTTCCCGATGTGAAGTTCCCATGCATTCGGATTCGGATGCATTGCTAGACACAAGTCGGCAGCCAGCAAGTCACTACTCTTTCCTTAGCCCGTTGTCAGCGGCCGTAGGCCCCGAGAGGGGGCGCTAACAAGGCCCGATCAGACGCAATCCCTCCTCAAAGGGAACGCGGCTGACTGTCGGCTTCTGCAGACGTGGATTGCTGTGGATTGATCGCTGTTGATCGAAGGAGCAGCCAGGTGATCGGAGGCGGAGGCTGCCACCGCGGTGGCGTTGCAATTTAGCCGAGACGCTGTCTTGGGATGGGTGCGAGGTGCCCGTGCACTGGACTTCTCCCCTTTTCCTGTGGGCTTTGAACTGTGCGTTTTGGAGGATGAGGTTTAGTTTTCGCATGGTTATCTCCTGAAGGAAAATGGTGCGTTGCCTGTGCGGAGAGCACCTGTGCTGCCAGCGTCGAAGCTCTGTCAGTGTGCCCCTGAGCCGTTGCGAAATCGGCTGTGCAACGAAGCCCAGGGAATGGAGGAAGGAAACGGGCAGAGTGTTTGGAGATGCGTTGACTGCCTTCTGTCCAGCATTCGTAAACAGAAAGGCCGGACTTCGCTTTTATGCTGTGCCTTGCTCCTTTTGAGAAATTGAAGAGGGAGCTGAATGCCTGCTCGATTGAATGCTGCAACAGGCTGACCGACATGAAGTCAATCCGCACCTTTACCAGACTGATGAACGTAGTCCTGTCCAATACGTGCATCCATGACAACGCCTGGAATGCCTGTTCCCAGACAACCCCGCTGGTTGGCCACTGTTGCCGTCCACGGCCACACTCCCCAAAGGATATTCTGATGCTATGTTGTGTGCATCGTTTGCTGTGTCAAATAGCGCATGCTAGCAATCCTTCCACATAGCAATGTAACGATTGGCCATTTTTTGCGTAGGAAAGTTAACCGCACGCTTTGGACTTTTTGCGGTGCAACATAAAAAAGAATAGAATACCGCTCTGAAACAAAAAAAATGGGGAGCGCAAAGCGCAATGGCAATTTTCTGATGCGGAAGGTTTCAATATTTACGGTATGTCCCAACAGGTGCAAAAAAACCGCCAAATATTTGGCAAGAATGGCAATAAATTCGCATTCACTGATGACGCACTGACTGATGTGCTAACCATCAGTACAGCCCTTAGATCGTTGGAGTAGGGTGACTGCAACGTGTCCAGATCTGAGCATGGCAAGTTGGTGCCTCAGCCTGGGCCGCATTCCCCAGAATTGTCCAGGCTGTAGGTAGTGGTATTTAGTACTTGTCTTTAGTCGGACTTGACAGGAGGAACTGTGATGGTTAACTCAACTTTTTGTGTGTTTGTCGCGAGTATGGAAGCAAGTGGTATCAAGATTCCTATGGATGGAGGGCACATTGAGGAAGATGGAAAGTTCCACACGCCAAGATCCAGGGACGATGACCCTGGAGAGGAACCCTTCGGGGTGATGGTAGCCAGGACACCAGTTGACAACTTAGATCCCACATAGGTTTTCCTGGACAGAAGGAGGGCAACTGCAGACGATCCATTCGTAACTGATCTGACGCCGCAGACATGTAGCTCGACATTGAATGAAATGGGTTGGCAGCTGCCGAATAAGGAACCTGGACATGAGAGCTCAAGCAGCAGCCAGCTGCTTGCGCCCATGGATTCTCAGCTTGGAGTTTTCCCTGCTTTTGCAGAAGCGCGAATTATGTTGCTGCGGAAGTGGATTTGGCAAGATGTGGATGCTCAGGGAGATATCCTGGTGCTTGAAAAAGGCCAAAATCAACGACAGAATGTAATTGAGAAAAATGCTCGTCATCTTTTTTGGAGAAGATTACGGTGTGCACAAGATATGCTCACGCAGCTGTAGATCCCCTTGATCACGGTTCGCTGTGTGCCTTGCATGAAAAGTGCCAACTTCTGTGGCATTGAATTTGAGGGGGGAAATATTGCTGGGTTGCTGATGGAACTTCATGGCATATTGGAGTTGTGAAGAAATGGGAAGAAACCATAGGGTCCAGAAGGAGCTCTGGACATGGAACAGGTTGAACACCCTTGTGTTTACTGTGCGCCGCGCAGTGCTTTGAAAAATGGTGGCATCTCGAGCATCAGTGAGGATCATAGCTGGTGGACAGTAGCCGTGCTGTTGCAGGAAATATGTGTGCTTCTCGTT